GAAAGAGTGAGTGCACCAGAATCATTAGCATATGACTGATCTCTGGGCCCCAACCTGAGAGATTTGAATTCGGTATTTTTTTAAAAACTCACCCAGATGATTCTGCTGCACAGATTATGCTTATCTTAACCCAGCCCCATACAACTTTCCACAGTCATTTGAAACTTCCTCTCTGTGGCTAACTAGTACCTCTCAAACTCATGTTCAAGGCTACTGGTGGGAGTGGTGGAGAATTGTTAATAGTTCTTCTGTCGGGTCACCTCTGTGTCTGGGATTTAGCATTGTTTCTGTCCCAGTTTTCAGATTGGGACCTGATTCAGCTTCCTCCCAGGCCTCCCCTCTTTCTAAGGCCTTTCTCTGTAGTCTTCTGGGCCACAGCCAAGATCAGGACATCCAAGAGAGACAGCTGTGAACAGACTGGGACTTGACAGGGACTGTTCAAGACCTCACATAGACTGGAGTCTCTTCTTCCTGGCCAGGGCCCTTCACTTAGCCAATGCCCTTTCTCTTTTCTTCTGGTGGCCTTGCCAGGCTTTGGCAGAGGCTTTCCAGGTAGCTGAGCTGTTTTCTGTATTCACATTGTAGGGGCTCAGTTAAATGTCCTCTGGAAAGTTTCTACCTTTCCCAGTTACTGCCTTTCTTCCACTTCCCTTCATAATATCTCTGGTAGAAACTCTCATTTTAGTATCCCACTGAAATGCGTGCACTGTTGTGTTTTCCTATGTTATGAAATCAGTGCCAGAGTAAGAGCTATTGAAACACAGAAGTGTTTCCTTATGTTTTTAATCTCAATCTCAACACACTGGCTCACAGTAGGCACTCAGTGGGATGTTGAATGAATGAAAAATGAGCTAAGAGATCTTTGCTTAAATGAATTTCTGATGGGTTTCGGGCATATGGACTACAAACACACACACATACACACGCACACTATGAATAGAGAGATGAACACCACTAAGCCTTATGTAAAGCTGTCCTGGGAAAAGGGAAGTTTTGTGCCTTACTGGCCTTGATATTCTTAACCCTTAGCACATACAGTTCCTGGCTTCTTACAATATTTTCTTTAGTAGTGTTTTCCAAATTCTAACATGCATCAGAATCATCCGGAAGGTTTGTTAAATCACGCATCGCTGTGCCCCATCCCAGAGTATCTGATTCAGTAGGTTTGGGGTGGGGCACAGAGAATCCGCATTTTTAACAAGTTCATGGGTCTGTTGATGACACTGGCCCAAGGACCATACTTTGAAGACCACTGAATTTTCAATAGTAGTAGCTATACTATTAGTTGAGTACTGACCATTTTATTCCCTACCAAGGAACTATGCTAAGTTCCTTATATGAGTGATTTTATTTACCATTCAACAACCTCATGAAGTATAAATTATTGTCCCAATTTTACAGAGGAGGAATCTGAGGACTAGAGCTGTTAAATACCTTGCCCAGTGTCGTAAGTGGCAGGGCTGAGATTTGAACTAATTTCTAACTGCAGGGTCCCTGTTTATAGCTATGGTGATAGATGAAATAGTTTGTGTCTTAAGTAAATACCTGATAATGTGCAGGCCAGTAACTTCTCAGATGGATGACCAGTCATATCTACCCCCAGACAGCCACTAAACATAAGCTCTGAGAGCAAGGGTCCTGATCATCCTTATTTCCTGTTTTATCTCTAGAGCCTAGAAACAAGCTCTCACATAGTAAGTGCACAATAAATGGATAATTGTTTTAAAAAATTAGTGCATATTTAAAGTATCTAGTTTTGGCAAAAGACCCTTTTGTGAATGAAGGAGGAACATGTTCACATGTACAGACTGAGTGTTCAGATTCTTGAGTTGAGCTGGTGGGTATTCTTTCCAGCTTAAGACCTCTGAACTAGCAGAGCTCCAGTATGTAAGAGATTATACAGGTCAGTGTTTCTCAAAGTGGTTCCTGGACCAGCAGCATCAGCATCTCTTGGCAACTTACCTAAGGGCTGTCAGACTTAAAGTACAGGATACCAAATTAAATTTGAATTTCAGATAATAATGCAATACTTGGGACATACTTATAACTAAAAATTATTCACCATTTAACTGAAGTTCACATTTAAGATATACGGGGCATCGTGTATTTTATTTGGCAACCCTAACTTCTTAGAAATTAAAATTCTCAGCCCTACTCCAGACCTACTGAAAAACTCAGGTGAGGCCTAGCCATAAGTGTTTTAACATACCCTACAGGTGATTCTGACAAAGTTTGAAAACCACTGCCTTAGGCAGTGCCTGTTTACCTAAAGCAGGGCTCAGCCAAATCTGGCCAGCTGTCTGTTCTTGTGGTTTTTTTTTTTTTTTTGGCTGCGTTGGGTCTTAGTTGTGGCACGTGGGATCTTCATTGCAGGATCTTTCGTTGCAGCACACGGGCTCTTTGCTGCAGTGCACGGGCTTCTCTCTAGTTGTGGCGCACGGGCTCCAGAGCACCTGGGCTCAGTAGTTGCAGTGCACGGGGTCAGTAGTTGTGGTGTGTGGGCTCTCTAGCTGCAGCACACGGGCTCAGTAGTTGTGACACACGGGCTCTCTAGTTGTGGCTCATGGGCTCTAGAGCACGTGGGCTCAGTAGTTGTGGCACGTGGGCTTAGTTGCCCAGCAGCATGTGGGATCTTAATTTCCTGACCAGGGATTGAACCCATGTCCCCTGTATTGGAAGGTGGATTCTTAACCACTGGACTACCAGGGAAGTCCCCGTCTGTTCTTGTTAATAAAGTTTTTAGGACAGAGCCACAGCCATTCCTTTTACTTATTTTACTTATTCTTTTATGTATGTACTTATTAAGTTTCCTGCCCTCTTGGAATTTTTATTCTAGTTGTGGGTGGTTAATTATATCTTCAGCTATAATTAACAATGAAGCCAGCTAAAACTGGCTTAAACAATAAAGGAATATATTATCTTGCATAACCAGAAGTACAGAGAGGTAGGGCAGTCTCCCAGGC